TAAAATTGGACCCCTGCTTAAAAATCAATACTAAGCTTGGGCGCCTTATATAGTTTGTAAGGTATGTGAAGAAGGTTGAAGTCATTGAAATTACGGAGCCAGGCTATTCTATGATATGAAGAGAGCCAACAAATCACCATGATGACTGCTATTTCTGAATGTGCAATATTACTGGATATTATACTTATGATTTGAAAAACATTGTTTATTCGAACTTCAAATTTGCAAATTAGGTCAGTGTCGCATGACCCAGAAGTTCCAATACCTGAGAATCCAATCAGTTTAGAAGAAGATACCACCAGTTTTTCTGAACCTGAAATTGATGAAGATACCCTTAGTGATGTTGTTGATATATGGAGTGCTTCTCATCAACCACAGTTATTGTCACAATCAGAAGTTAAGAATTAGGTTTGCCTAAGGATCTTTCCGAAATTTTAGCATCTAGATTTCGCAAAGATAAAATTTATAAGCTGTTTTGGACTTGTATATTGCACCCTAATCTAATAAAGAAACGAGGTATAGGCTACAATTCTGAGGACTGGAGGCTTTTATTGACTTATGAAATAGGAACTTTAAAGCTGTGCTTTTGCACAACGAAAATGTTTTGGCTTCTGTACCTGTTCCCATTCTGTGCAAATGAAAGGATGCTACGAAAATCTGCAACTACTCCTTCAGGAAATAAAATGCAAGGTTCGATGATTTGTGGTGACTCAAAAATTGTGGAACTTCTACTAGGTCAGCAGTTATGATATACGAAGCACCGTTGTCTGAAAAAGAACTGGACAAGGGTTAATTTAACTCCCCGATAAAAAAAACATCTTTACGATCTTCACTATAGTCTTAGCAGTGTGTCTTCAATAAAGATGGAGCATGCTTTAAATACTTATGTATGCTCTCTCAGACGCAAAATTAAAGGAACGAATTTTTGTATGTCCTCAAATAAGGCGATTAGTGGAAGATCAAGACTTTGTGAATACCATGATCGAATCTGAAGAGTTGCATAGGTTTCATTTACTGATAATAAATAAATATCCAAATTACAAAGACATCGCACAAAACGAGTTAGAGAAATTTAAGGAAATGGGATGCAATATGATTATTAAACTACACTTTTTACACTCACACCTGGAATACTTTCCCGAAAATTTTGGTGCCTTAAGTTGGGAGGAAGGTGAGAGGTTCTGGCAAGACGTTAAAGGAATAGAACGCAGCTACCAAATTCTATGGACCGTTGCAATGATGGCAGATTACTGCTGGTCATTAAAAAGTGTACAATCCGGCCATGGAATATACAAGAAAATCCACTAAACGAAAGAGAGGGAGAGAGAAAATAACTACACTTAACTATTGTTTAAGACCTTGTTGTTTAATTCAGATTTTTTAATTAGGTTTCCATTCTTATACTGATGGAATTAACTATAATAAATTCAACCGAGATTTTCATTTATTAATTCTGATTCAAGATGAACCATCTGTTCTTGTGGCAACTGTTAAGAAAGAAAAGAATAAATTTCCTATAGGTAGGCGTCTATATTCACCATCTCCTAGGCTGCAACTGTTGCTTATTTGATGTATTATGGGTCACGTAGTCTGTTTTGCTTATACTCGTGCGGAAAAGTTTTACTTTAACTTAGGGCTCGAGTTTACTTTTGATGGGCTTTTGGAAGTTTGCGGGCGACAATACCTACGAATACTTCTTTAGAGGTTTAGTTCACAACAACTTTTGATTTTTGCTCGGCTTAAATCGTGACTTGTGTTTCCCTTACGAATAATTCAAAGAGTTTACCCTAGACACGTAAGGTGTAACGAATAGCTAGATGCCTTTTTCCGGTCTCGCTGACCTACGGATCTTGTAGCATACCTGTTAGAAATATTTTTAAGTTTCCAAGTAATGCAGGAGCGTTTAGTTCTAAGAAAAAGCGTCTGGAATAAAGAGACGGTTGACGTACTAGGAGGGAGAGAGAGAGACAGAAGTTGCGAGGGCCAGTCAATGACCGCTGGTAGGTGAATGATTGGCGAATAGCTCCGAGGCATCTGTTGGCTGCTTGTATGACGTAAGATGGAAGGCGAGCCTACATTTGTTAATCGATTGGGTGAATAAGTTGCATCACTGCGGTCAGTCAAAAATTGTGACCATGCTGTCGGTGTGGGTGAAGAATACAGCAGTAAGTCTGTTCCTGTTTCCTGTCCGTCCATCCTATCCGTAGTTTGTACTACAAGTACCACATTTACGCAGCTGTGGGTGTTTGTTTTGCTGTTTTAGTTAATATTTATGTTTGAAAAAAATTCAAATTCGAATAAAATTTCAAATTTGCCTGATTTTACAACCACAATCGCACCATAGCGAATATTAGTTTTGATCTGTCAACAATTAATATCAGTTGTAGGCTGTAGTTGCGATTATAAACTCAGCACTGTAGTTCTCTGCTCGATAAATTCGATAAAAGCTGGCGTTGACTTTACTTTCAAAAGTGCGTCGAACATTGGATAAAATAAAAATTAACTTTTTTTATATTGCAGTTTCACGCCCGCACTCTGATTAAAACCTGGTAAGTTTGGTGTCGGCTTTGGGGTTTTCTGTGGGCTATAATGATGAGGTTCTTAAAAACCAATTAATAATGAAATTATTTTTGAAGACATGGACAGTCTTTCAGAGCTGTATATGTATATAACTTCGGTATTACATATTTCCAATTGTCAGAACAGCGTAAAATTTTTAATTGTTAATTGAATTTGACCCCCTAAAAAATTTTAAAATAGTATATTATGCAACAAGTGCGGTAAACGGCATTTAACTCACGAGTTTATTTGATACGAGTGACTTAAAAAATTTGCCGAACGTGTTGCATATTATACTTTTTCTAAAACCGTTAGTTTTTGGGTATATTTTAGCAAAATTACATGAAACATGACCGTTAGAATTGACAAACGTCAAAATTTAAAGCATGGGAAATATCCCCGAAAACATCCGATTGCTCCCAAACCCGTGCGGTAAAATCCCGGAAATGTCCGAAGGCTCGGATCCGTGGGAAACGAAACTGTCGTGATAAAGTGACGCTTCCCGCACTCTAGATTGGTATGTGATTAGGTATTTTACAGATAGGAGTAGAAATAACATTTATTGCACCACTTTTCTCGGGCTACAGGAACTATTTTTATTATTTTTTTTACTATTTTATTGCTATTTTCAAAAACATTTTTGCATCCCTTTTTTTGACACATTGCATAAACCTTTGTCATTGTGTTCCCCGGATTGCATGCTCGAATTTACAGACATTTTCCGAAATACTGAAATAATTTTTCCGTAACTTTGTAATGGGTGTTTTTTTTCGATGTATAGAACTTTAAGTTGGCGTTACTGTTCAAGATGGCGACCGATTTAACAGCTGTCAAGTGATTTATTCTCGGTTTGGTTTGGCAATTCATCGTGAATAGACTCACGCCTGAACAACGCTTGCAAATGGGCCCAAATGGCTGCGTTAACAAACAAAACTGCCGCATTTGGAGCGAAGCTAATCCTCAAGTGTATGTCGAAACACCGTTACATCCAGAAAAACTGACTGTTTGGTGCGCTTTATGGGCTGGTGGAATCATTGGTCCGTACTTTTTCAAAGACGATGATGGCCAGAACGTTACAGTCAATGGTGATCGGTATAGAGCTATGATTACTAACTGTTTCATTCCTGAATTGAATAACCATGATGTCCAGGAGATGTGGTTTCAACAAGACGGTGCAACATGTCACAGCTCATGCCACAATCGATTTATTGAAAGACACGTTTGGTGACCGCCTAATTTCACATTTTGGACCTGTGAATTGGCCTCCAAAATCCTGTGATTTAACACCGCTAGACTACTTTCTGTGGGGCTATGTAAAGTCATTGGTCTATGCGGATAAGCCACAGACAGATTTGGATATACGGCCACAAATGTTGGAAAAAATCATCGAAAATTGGACGTCCAGATTGGACTACATCCGCGCCAGCCGTGGCGGTCGTATGCCAGAAATCATATTTAAAATGTAATGCCACAAGATTATCTTTCGCATAAATAAAATTCATGTCAATCGAATAACCCATCGTTGTTTTATTGCAACTTAAAGTTCTATACATCGAAAAAAAAAAACACCCCTTACTTACACTAAAGTGTCGAATGAGATTAATCTCGGTACAAATCAGCAACGAATGAATAACTTCGTAGGAGGACCAAATTTATTAAAGTGTCGATGTAGAATAATCGCAAATGAATGTTTACTCATCCTGTAATTCCGAAAGAGACGAAATCATCCTTCCCGCCTTCCATTACACCCAACATCAAAACTTTGCTCTTCGGAGTAAATATCGGCACACCTGCTGATCTCCCCAAGTCAAAGTTTTTGCCCGGGACCTCTAGTATTTGGGAAATATAGTCCAATATTATCCCCTGGGGTGTAGTTAATCTTCATTAAGTCGGCAGCGAAGTTATCTTTTGTTTTCGAGGTTTTTAGCAAGACGAAACAATGCGGTTTCTCGTCTTTTGTGAACGCCTACATATTGCGCGGAAAGCCCGTGTAAAGTTTTAACTTCGAAAGCTCATTACGAAAGATAAATTCGGGATCCGGACTCGAATCTAAACTAAGCCCGTTTTAATCGGGTTTCGGAGTATTTACAAGTTTTCGATATTGAACGGCGAGGTAAAAGCATTTCTTGCCGACTCTTCGAAGTTTGTCGAGTTCTCGGATAATAAATATGCAAACGTAGGATCCGTGAAAATAGGTATATTGTTTGGGCAAACATAACTGATCGCAGTAACGAAATAACTGTTGTTAAATAAGACTAAACCTAGCACTGTTAGGAATATGCGAAACAAGGTGGCCTTCCTCTGGACGTTGCATTACTGACGACGCAGTATTTTACCATTTTGGCAACGAAGATCAATATCACAGACACGGAGTTGGCATTATCGTGGATAAACACCTAAGCAAGGGTGTAACAGATTTTATACCATACAATGATAGAACAATGCTACTAAAAATTGAAGCAAAACCAATAAATATCAATATAATTCAAGTGAAAACCCCCACCCTAGACAAATCCGAAGAAGAAATTGAATCCTTCTATGAGGACATCAAACAGCTCCTAAAGTACACGAAGCCGCATGATCTGAACATTATCCAAGGAGATTTTAATGCCAAAGTGGGCAAAGGAGAAGTGATCGGGGGAGTGGTTGGTCCTTGGGGTCTGGGAGAAAGGAACATTAGAGGAGACAGACTAATACAATTCTGTCAAGAAGAACATTTTAAAATCATGAATACTTGGTTCTCCCTACCTCCGAGAAGATTGTATACCTGGAGGGCACCGCAGGATAGACCTGGAAATATTGTACTGAATCAAATCGATTTTGTCCTCGTTAACAAGAGGTTCAGCACAACCGTCTCAAGAGCGCAGACGTACCCGGGCGCCGACGTGCCATCCGATCATTGTCTTCTAACGATAAGCATAAAGCTAAAACTAGCTTTGCGCAAGGTCAACAAAGGTCAAATAAGAAAATTAGACACCTCGAAATTACAGCAGGAGGAGATAAAGTCTGATCTTAGGAACAAACTAAACCAAAAATTGAAACAAATAAAAGACCAAACAGATCAACAACCACTGGAAGTATGGGAAACAGTTGAAACTACCATAAAGAACGTCACAATTGAATGTCTGGGATATGAAAAAAGACGCAGCAATAAGAAATGGATGACTGACGAGATCCTACAACTAATGGACAAACGCAGACAGCACAAGAACACTAATCATGATGAATACAAGAGACTAAACTCACTAATAAGATCCGATATTAGAAAGGCTAAAAGGAAATGGCTGGAGGGGGAGTGTAAGGAAATTGAATACTTGCAACAAATACACAATACGCGTGAAGAACACAAAAAGATGAAAGAAGCATCTGGAATGTATAAAAAACGACCTCTACAATACAGGACACTTTCCCCGAAGCTGGTTAAGATCAACTTTTATACCCCTACCCAAGAAAAGCAACGCCCGAAAGTGCAAAGATCATAGACTCATAAGTCTGATGAACCACTCCTTAAAAATTTTCCTCAAAATAATACACAGGAGAATACAGCACAGATGCGAGAAAATTATCGGCCCTAGCCAGTTTGGATTCAAATCAGGTATGGGAACACGTGAGGCGCTTTTCGGACTCCAAGTCTTAATACAAAACTGTCTAGATGTTAATAAGGACATATTTCTATGTTTCGTCGACTATGAAAAAGCTTTCGATCGTGTACAGCATTCAAAACTCATGCAGATTTTGAGAAAAACCGACGTCGACGACAAGGACATAAGGTGTTTCGAGAGATTGTACTGGGGTCAAACAGCTAATATTACCATACAAAACATTATTACTGAAGATATTGATATCCGGAGAGCAGTTAGACAGGGATGCGTCCTGTCTCCATTGCTTTTTAATTTATACTCCGAAGCGATATTCAACGAAGCTTTTGAAGAACAAGAGTTGGGAGTGAAAGTGAACGGAATACCAATTTCGAATATCCGATATGCGGATGACACTGTCCTCATTGCCAATGATGTTGAGAAACTACAGAAAATGTGTACTAGGTTATGTGGCAGCAGCAACGAATACGGGATAAACATTAACGCCGACAAAACCAAATTTATGATAATCAGTAGGAAAAACCAATGTATACAGATGCCACAATTCAGATAGAAAACCGAAATATAGAACGAGTAACACAGTTCAAATACTTAGGATGTTGGCTGCATGCAGGATGGAACTCGGAAAAAGAGATTAGGTGCAGAACAGAGATGGCACGTGCGGCATTCATGAGATATGAAAAAATCCTTAGAAATCGAGACCTGCACCTGTCTCTTCGAGTCCGATATGCAAAATGCTATGTTTGGTCGGTACTTTTGTACGGAGTGGAGGCATGGACTGTGAATGCAAAAATGATCAACAGAGTGGAAGCCTTCGAAATGTGGACCTACCGACGTCTTCTGAGAGTCCCGTGGACGCACAGAGTAACTAACGACGAAGTACTAAGAAGAGTTCATAAGAACAGAGAACTACTTACAGCCGTAAAACGCAGGAAAACGGCCTACCTCGGACACATTTTTAGACATGATAGGTATCAGCTGTTACAACTCATATTAGAGGGTAAAATAGATGGCAAGAGAGGAATAGGAAGGAAACAGATGTCATGGGCAAGGAACATTAGACAATGGACAGGTCTAAAAACAATTGGGGAACTTGTCAACGCGGCAAGAGATAGAGACCAATTTCAGCGTGTGGTCGCCAACATCCATTAAGTGGATAGGCAGCGTGATGATGATGAAATAAGCTTTTGCTTAAACTCGATGAAATGTTGGTAGCATTAAACGAGATAACAAGATATACGTAGGCAGTCAAAGGCCACACAGGAAAGAAAGAAAGAAAGAAAATGAATCCCGGCAATGGTGGACAGACACGCCTGAATAGAGACATAAAGAATTCCTCAGAAGTCGCTAAGCCGTGAAAAGAAGGTGATGAGAATAATGGTAGGTTTACTGAAGCGTCACTAAAGTAGCATCTAACTCCGATAAACGTGAAAACAAAATCTGATTGCAGATTCTGCAAAACAAGACAAAGACGTTCCTATATTGGGCTTTACCAAACTCAATGGAGGCCATGCTGTTGAGTTTGATCAGAGAGACGAACCGAGATGAGGCGTTATAACTACGGAAGGAGTCACAATAGATCATTTGGGTCACAAGCAGGCTAAAATCTAACATTCCTAAACTGTCAATAATATATACATTAGTGCAAACAAAACAGAAAAACGCACTACCTTTAGTTTGAAAATCCAATTTGGATAAAAAAATTTAATAATCAAAAAACGTCAGGTAAAAACAAGGCGAGAAAACTTTGACGCTTTCTTTTAAACGCGAAGTTTTTCCACTCGAGCCGCTGATCTAATCCCCGTATCAGACTGCAAAGAAAACGCGCCGTCAAGGTGGAACTATCTGCGCCTTAAATAAAATACAGCTTTAATTTTGCGTCCGCCGGTCCAATCGCGAAATTTATCGGGAAACAAATGAAATTTCCCGTTAAAGTTGAACTAAAATTTATGACTTTTTAAGGTCCGTTAGTTTCGGTGTTACGCTTTGGTCCTTGGTATGGATAGTTTTTGTCTAGTCCAATTGATGGTAATTGAGTTTCCCGCCTTTTTTAATGCTGGGCTTTAACGCGAAAGCGGCATTTGCCAGCAAACCATTCACCACCTGAAGCGCTAAATTAATGACTTTGATGAGTGTAGATTTCATTTAATTCTTCTAGTAGGTGTGGAATTCGGGAGAGCGAAAAAAGAAAAAAACAAAAATTCATTCCGCTAAAGCAAATTTAACCTTTTTGTTAGTTTTATCCAGTGACACCGTCAAATAGAAACAATTCGGGCCATGCTGTAAAAAAAAATCCAACTTGATGATTGGTTTTATTTGTTAAATGAAATCAACACTGTTTATTTGTGGACGTTTCCGCAAACACATTGGGTTGCCTTACGTTTCCCCTCCCCTCACAGTTCTTACAGGGGTGACGTAACTCCGTGATTGTTTCAATTCCTTATGTTCGTATAGAGCTGTTCTATTCTTGTTCACGTAATAGTGTGTTTTACAAATTTTTTCTTTAGATACTTGAGTTTTTAAAAGAAAATATTTACAGGGCGTTTCAAAAAACATGTGCCATCGCTGGAGGCGAGATTCCTCACGTAAAAATAAGACTTTTTTTTATATCAACATGGACGTGCATTTATTTTCTTGTGTTTGTATGCACAAACATAATATCAAGCAAATTATCAATGCCGTTCGAAATATTTTTAAATGTTTTGATTTACTCGAAATTTATCCTAAACTACTGTAGCATTTCCAATAAAATTTATAGGGTGAAAGTTATTTAAGCCAGTACGTATAAAAAGAGTTTGCTCAACTTGACGATTGTGTATGAGCTATCCCCTCAATAATTTTCTGCGCGCCACTGACTTTTTTTCTTTGATAGAAAAGGTAAGTGGTGAAAATGGCTACCTGCAGCTTCATTACAAGCTATCAGTCCAAATTTTATTGAATTTGCCACAGTTTCTTTAACACCCTGCTACGAAGCGAAGCATAGGACACACAACCTATATGAATATTTTATTTACAACTTACAATTTTTTGTATTAGCCCTCCTCCTGTTCAAAATCTTATTCTGTACACAATATTTTTCGCTGTATATTTACCATAATTTCTAATACATCTCTGATTTCAGGTTGGTTAAAGTTCTTCATCTCTAGGGGATCTATAAAAAGTCCGCCAACACGGTCTTAGAGAAAATGGCCCAGTGGATGAATACAAGTCAAGAGACGATTCTGCTTGCAGCTGGAGAAACGAGAAGTACTCCTATCGACTTAAATAGAACAGTCAAAGATTACATCAGAAAGATAGTAGAAAAGATGGGCAGGGTAATAGGAGAACTCAAGAGATTAAGGCTTTAAACTGGAGGTTCAAAAGAAAACTCAAGAAGAGTCGTGTATTTTCCACATCCCATTGAGTTGTATTGTATAGTCACAATATAACAACATGCTATAGAAGCTCCAAAGGAATGTAGAAGTTTAGCATTACTACCGCACAGCATCGACCAAAGCACAACTTCTTATGGGTACGCTTACTCACATAACTTTAAACTCTGCAACAATAACAAATATCTACAATGCGGATCAAGTAGTTTTTCGACTGTGAGAGATGGAGCGTTTGTTAGGGTCACTCTCTTCATCAAACGAAAAGAAACAAAGATTCAAGAACTGAAGCATAAACAGGTTGCAAAAAAAAGAAGAGGAAGAAGGAAGTAGTAAAGAAATAAGGGAAAAAAAGACGAAAGGGAATTTAGATAGGACACGCTCGTTGAAGTAATGTTTTGCTGAACGCGGAGAATCACACACTACCCGAGAAGTGTATAAGGAATTTGTGTGCATAAAGGATTTTCGCTTCCAAAAAAAAAACAAAAAAGACATGGCCTTCCAGGGATATCTACGATAATATCATGACGTATTTCTAAATAACGTTTCAACTATTCCGTTGGAAATTATTGCTTGGGAAAGACATTTTTCTCCCATAAAGACTTTTTTAAATGTAAGCGTCACAAATAATGTAGACAATTAAACAACTCAATGGCGACTAACGCTTAATGGATGCGTTACCTCTGTCCACACGTCACGTGCCCCTTACGAGTAAATCGATGCATAATAGGTAGTTTTCAAGACTTCGGAAGTGGCTTATTAAATTGATGTTAGCGTTAATGAATTACAACATAAAAATTTTTTTGAATTTTTTTCTTTTATTTTATTTTATTTGTGCTCGCACGACTTCACTAGCTATCAAAACCCATTAATGCACTTGTTATAAACCATTTCGGATTTCGCAAACAATAAAGTATTGTTTGATTTATTCAAAATTCAACTATATTCAATAATGGAGCTCTCCCCTTTTCACAATCAACATTCAACTCAATCCAATATATTTTACAGTCGTTCGCAATTATTTTACGCCAATATAAATTTATCAAGAGCCCCAAAAAAAAATTCTAGCACCAATACATTTAACGTAAAACTAAAAAAAAAAGCCTCTTTTTTTTTTGAAGTTATAAAATCAGAAAATTTCCCAACAAATAAAGAGAACGAATCCGAACGCCAATTACAAACGTTCCGAACAAATGAGAGATTGGGGATTGGGGGTGGGGGCATAGCTCAGGCATTGAATTGAACATCGCTGGAACAAATTTAAAAAATCGGTGCCCGTTCCGCGTCATCAACGAAACGGCACTGGAGCGCCACCGCGGGGGCCCGTAAATTTCGCGATATTAAAATGTTTTTAAAAATGGGCAAATCTATACGCGGCACCGGAGAGAAAATTACTGTTTTCGGTCTCGTCCACCGCCCCCCCATACCCCCTCGGCCGCCCTTTCGCGATATTATTGAAAGTGGCCGCCGCAGTGCGACATTTAACGAACGCGCGTCCCCCCGGTTAGGGGGTGTCGGCAAATTTCATCTCGTACTCGGTTACCCTTGTCTCGTTTTACGGAGATATATTTTATTGTGGAGTTCTCGCTCTCTCTCTGTCGCTAGCGTCTTTCCAGGCCGTGAGATAAAATGCACCGCGTTTTAGGAAATGTTATGCATTTTTATTTCCTTTAGTTCCTTACCGTGGCCCCCCCCACCCCCAACCCCGCGAATGTAATGTGGTTTTCAATACGCTACGTTTAATTTGAATAGTGAAATTTAAAAGAAATGCAAACTAAAGAAAAAGTTGAAAACCCTAAAAGAACTGACAGTTGCGATATGTAAAAATGACAGAATTGAAAAGTAAAACGTGTTTCGATTTTTTTTACTATTTCTGAACCTATTGCTAATACACAGAAAAAGACATGATCAATTGTAGATTACGTATATTTTCCATATTTTCTACTCCACTTAAATTGAAGTATTTTTAAATTAAGGACACCAGTTTAAATTAAGAGTTTCAATATGCTTGAAAAATGGATATAATATTTTCAAGGTATGTTTTTCATTGTCTTATTTTATAATGTTTAAAATTTTTATTTCTAAACTGCAAATTCTACTTCTGAGATTGCTTCATCTGCTTATTTGGAAAGTGTTGGTTCCTTTAAATGATGATATAGAGTAGGAGAAACAATATACCTTCATT